CGTTAGGGGTCATAAAAATTTTAAGCATGCCAAAAGTCGCAAGAGGGTAAATTGGAAGAAAAACTTCAAATGTATCTAATAAACACAATTTTACTTTGACGTCAAGAAACTGACGTAGAAAATTTATCGAGATTGGAACAGCAGCGTCAAAATCGACAACTAAAGAGTCCATTACGTGAGAGATCAGCTTTTCATTGTACCCTCACAGCAATCTCTGAAATCTTTAAAGATCCTACTTCAGATTTTTAAATAAGTAGAAAATGTATTTGTGTTTTTGTGGCAATAAAAATGTAGGGTTTAAGGTCCAGGACTTTGTTGCTCTGGTAATAAAGTTGTGAGATATGAGAAAAAAAATTTTTTTTTAACATAAATTTTTTGGGGGTTTAAAATCTTAACAGCTTTAAAAAATAGCCGTTTTCGTGAATTACACGGGAGAAACTGTAAATCAACGGCTTCTTATGGCCACCGATTATTTTATGGCATAAAGAACGCACGGTACTTTTCAGCATAATTATTTTTTTGAATTTTTACACCTTATTATTTGACCAAATAAACTATATGGATTCCGAAAAAATATGTTTTTAATAAGAAGATTTTTGTTCTGAGATGTATCAGGAATATGTGTAAAATTTCTAACTGAAAATGTTTCACATTACATGTCAACACACTACGGTGTTTTATTTAGTAAGTCTCGGGCGAAGCCGAGACGGGGGGCTGCTAGTCTCTTTGGTATTCAGAGCTGTGTTTTGTTGCTGATTATTTTATATTAAGCATAATTCTACATGACGAATTTGTATCCGTCTAAAAGTCTGATGTCTGTCCATAATTTTGTATTATGTAAATATCTTCACATTACTACTTTTTCTTATTTATATATTAGTAAAAAAAGCTCTTGATTGACAATTTTTTTCACTCACAGTGAATATTTGTGTGTAGGACTGTACTTGTGTATTTGATAGTTCATATTTACTCTGATGACGTTATAAGGGTGGTACATGTCTTCTTGTTTATATAAATACGTTTTTGTATACTTACTTCTTTGTCTTTTTTCTTTTACCATAATTTTATTTGCTTTTACTGTGTCCTAATTCGTATGCGTACGTTATTTTTATCAGTTCGTCATTTTTTTCCTTATGTTCTTTCATGCCAAGAACTCTGAATTAACAATTTATATTTAGTGTATCGTTTTTTCATTTGAAATGTATATAATTTTTTTTTCATTCACAAATCTTGTATTCTTTAACACTTGTTTTCTGATACTTTTTTATTTATTTTTTCATCTTTTTATTTAGTTCAATTAAAAGAATGATAGATGCAGCACAGTAGTACCTTATTAGTCGTGATGATATTGTTATGACCGGACTTGTTTAGAGTGTTAATTATATTACTGATAAATAAAGTTGGCGATGTAATGAGAGTTAAGAGTATCGAGGAGAATGTGGTGAGGGGAAATTTAAGGGCATCAGGCACTGCAGCTGCAGCATTCTCACACCAATGAAAGCAGTGCATGCTCAGTCAGAGAGGAAGAGAAGAGCAAAATGAAGTAAGATTATATAAAGCTAGAGTGAAAAAAAGAGAGAGACTATAATGAGCATCCTGGGCTGATAAGACATTACAAACAGAGCACTATATCGACGTACAACTACTAGGAAAGGGTTCTATAATTCCACTGCTACGATTACCTGAGTCCTCTTGCATGTATGTGTTTGATTAGTGGTGGAAGTACAATGTAGTCAAGGTAAGGAGTCTTCTTTGGTGGAAATCAAGACAAACTTCTGTATTGCCGGACACTTATTAGAAGGGAGTACTAAAATCTCTTCGAGAGAAGGACAGGGACAGTAGAAGAGAATTCGTTGCGACAAGCCAAAAGAGAAGTAAGGACAGTTAGTTAGATAAACTATTCTGTTAGGGCCACGGTAGTTCAGTGATTTTGGCTACGATTTCTTTAGCTCAAGGGTGTAGCAATACATGTTTATTAGTTCGATACCTAACCTTTACTCACTTTGCTCGCACCTGTAGGAAACTAGTTTCTCACGTGCATATTTCAAACCATGGTCCAATTGCTCGGAAACCATGTAACATAAGATATCCCCATTTCTGTGTAAGTGACTGATTCACATCAAATCTGAGACAGTTTTTTATTATGCTCATGACGATAGCATATGTATGAATAGTATATATTCAATAAATAAGATCATCGGTGTGGCGGAATTAGCTTTTCGGGCTACGAAATTCTGATTAGAACAAAAATAAAACTCTCGAATTCGAGCCAGATTTCATAATGGTCATACATAAACAAATGATACGGCTTTTAAAGTAATGTAGAGTAACTCTTGACACAAAGAAGCGCTTTTGAGAAATGGCCCTATATTGTACTTTTTTATAGCCATTTTACAAGAAAAATTTTAATGTTTATCCTAGTGGTTCGAAAAAAGTTTATGACTGGTCTTGCTTAAATTTGGTAGACACATTAAAACTTACATTTTCACGAAAACGTATGTTGTTATTATTAATCGGAACACGGGTTATACATTTTTTAATGAAATGGTCGAAGGACATTTTTTGAAATTTTTAAGATTTAGGCTCTCCACGGCTAGATATTACCATCTTTAAATTAAAATCTTTTTAATCATACACTTTTTTTACAATTCTTTTGTATGTCTCCCTGATGTGAAAAACCTATTTTTGCTATTTTCTTAAGATATTTGATGGCATTTTTTGTGTATTGTGCATACCATCAAAGAAAAATGTAACTAATATTGATGCACATTTTGCTTCCTTATCTTGAATAAATTTTTCTTGGAGTGGTCGTAGTTTAAATAGCTAAGATGCGTAGCTGATATGTGACTGCTTAAGTAGAACAAAGATTAGAATCTCGATTTCATTAGATTTTTTTAGAGTCAATTTTGACTGGGAATTTTTTTTACTGCCCTGCGTGTAGTCCTGGTGAGGATTTTTCTTCCTACAGAAATTTTTTCACACCACAAGGCGATCTATTTAGTTTGATTGCGCGGGTTCCCGTGGGCCAATACAGGACTGGTTAGGGTGATGCGGAGGGCGTCTATGACTTGTTTGCCCAAAAAGAGTGGTAAAAGACTATAAAAAAAAAAAAAAAAAAAAAACCTTTATCTTTGTATTTCAATGAACCTGTGAAGGTTCCTTTCACCAGATAACACCGTGCGTTAATAAGGTCAAAGTCCAGCAACTGATATGCTTTAGGATCTAATAACCTAACGACTCAGTAATTTACGGGCTTAAAAAATTTTATTACCTTAAGATCTAGTAAACTTTCAACCTCAAAATTAAATGACTTGCATGCTATAGGTTTTTATAAACTTAAGCTCATTGTCAGAAATTATTTAAATTAATCAGGATCAAACAAACTTAGGTAGCAGAAAAAATAAACCAAAAGAATATTAGAATTCAAAGTAGCAGCTATAAGACGGTTGAAATAATTATAAAGTTAAAATTACTAATTAATTTAAGGAGGCTCCACTGATTACTGTAGTAGTATATAGTGACTGTAATAGTCAATTCAGTAATCATTGATGTGATGTCACTAGACGAAAGCTTGCATTAATGCTAGTAGTGTTGGTGCTGAAGTTTATTTTATTTTTAACTGAACCTATGTGCTATTGTGTCTAGTATACTATATATTTTATTGAGCGCGCTCTCATGAGAAATATGGCCAGCGTTGTTTGTCACTGCACGCACCGGACGTAACTGCAGACCAAAATAGTATTATGGCTATTTTATCAATTTTTTAATCGCTAACTCTGAGTAAGTCACCCGGTTTCTCAAAGATGATAATCTCAGCTGTGTGGTACGTATATTTTTTTGCTTGTACTTTCCATTTCAATTCTTTAATTGATCGTTAAAAGTTTGCTTAAGGCCTTGGGTCATAAAAGCCTGTGTTAAGCAAGCTCAAAAAGTGCTAACTTTGAGTTGTACTATCTAGGGATTTTGCTCGCGAACTCACAAAAATAAGGATACTATTGGATTCAGCGCGATCTGAAATTTAAAAATGTATCATTCAAAGTTCTTGTACATTCCGTAATGGAGCTTTCTTTATTATAAGTATTATAGTTATGAAAATAAAAATAAGACATACTATAATGGCAAGGTAGTCTAAGTGTGAACCAAAATACTCGTGTAAATAAAGAAACTCATCTTTTTGTACTCAGGCATTAAAAATTATATGCTCCAAGCAGTTTAAAAATTAATGATTTTCTTGAGATATAACTATAGAACACTCGAGTGCTATGCTAGCCTGTAAGTAGCAGTATCATCAGAGTAGAAAAATAATGTAGCATAAAGGGTATCTCTCTGTATAATGCAGAGCAGTGCTATCAACAACGATGTCATTCGACCTATGCCCCTCTGGCGGATCAGCTATAAGAATAGTTCTTTGAAAAAGAAATCCATACCCCTTGTAATGCCTTTCTTTTTTACTCCGCACCTCTATGAAATAATTAGTAGATCGAATCGAACGAACTAATCTGAAAGTAAAGTTCGATTACTATTACATAAAGTATTGTTCGGGAATATCAAAATCGTTCTTACATTCATTTTCATCTCAAATAAAAAAAAGTAAAACAGATGTGCAATTCATGTTTTCGTTTCTCTTATATTTATAATCGCGATTAAGCTCATACATGGTTATTTTGGCACCACACCATGTATATAACCATATGCTAGTGTTTTGTAGAATAGTATCAGTAGGTTAAAAATAGTAGGTGAATCGTTAGGTTTTGAAGCTTAATTGCTACCCTCAAAAGATCCCATTTTTATTAATGACAATTTTTGTAAGAAGTGGAGTTGAAACTCCAGCCAACAAAATCTAATGACAGGCAGTCTACCTACTTTCCACATAATTATGATCGAATTTAAAAAAAGTTCGACGTTCCAGATACATTGTGAGAGTGGCACTACCCTTTACTGTACTTACAGTTCAAAAGCTTTAATAAAAATATATATATTGCATTAAAATCATATCATACCTTCTCAAATAATCGATATCTTGGAGAGCAAAAAATGTGATCGCTTTTCCTTGGCGCCCTGCTCGACCAGTACGTCCTACAATTTAACTTTCAGTGATATCTTGTCCAATAGAACTAGAAATCTAACAAATAATTACCGATCCTATGAATGTAAGATGTTGCAGAACGAGGAAAATCGTAATTGATGACCAGATTGACACCTTCAAAGTCTATTCCTCTACTCATTAAGTCTGTGCATATCAGAACCCATATTTTTCCTTCTCGAAAGCAGTGGACAACGTTATTTCGCTAGAAAAATAAATATTTGTTGAAAGTAAGAAAATAAGATAGTCCGATGATAAAAAATTGATTTTCTTTATACCTGCGTTTGAGTTCTATCTCCGTGTATGACATCTACGTTCACATTATCATAAACAAGTTCTTTAAATAATTCTTGTGCTCGCTCTTTACTTTGAACAAAAATGAGCAAAGGAGGAGATACACCCTGAAAATAACAGTTATCGTCGTTTACGTATACTAGTAACGTTAGACGCGCTTCATGTGATCTTATCGTTTTTGCGACTAGTTTACAATCACTTATTTGTTTTACTGTTAAACTTTAATACTTGCATGTAACACTTCTTTGGAAATGCCCATTACTTTCACATTATTTTTAATAATTAAGTGTTTAATTTAAATAAAAAACGTATGCGACGTATAGTTTTCGAATTGAAATTTTTTTTAAAACCCACCAACCAACTAAGTGGATATGTCTTAACAAATCAAGCAACAATTAAAAAAAGGCTTTACAAATCGATTACTAAACGTTTACTGCAAAAACAATGTTGTAAACTAATTTTTATTTTCTTTCGTGGAGATTGTAGGACAAAGTTAATTATTAATTTTCATGGGTTGTAAAGTATGAACATAGTTTGTTATTATTATTATAATAATTATTATTATAGTTATGATTATTATTATTATAATTATTATTATAGTTATAATNGTTACATTTATTATTATTATTACTTTATTATTACTATTATTCATTTAATTACTATTATTTTTTTTTTGTAAGCAAAACTTTTTATGCGCCGTTCTGGGGCTGGGAGTAAGCTGGCAAAAAGAGACAGATTCTAAATAACCGACATGCTTCCCCTACTCCACTCACTTATTGCAGTAGGGGAACGTGTATATACGTATATGTAGCTAGTGGTGGTGGTACTGCTGCTACTACTACTATAGTATTCGGAGTGGGTCATACGAGCTGACAAGCGCTCGAGCTTTGCCGTCTTGAAGGTCTCTTTGATCTCTCGCTGACTTCGTATACTACAGCTAGTATGATTGAATTAGTTTTTCGACCTCGAAAATTCTGACTAGCTCGAAAAAAAATAGGGTAGTAGTTTCAATGCACGGTAACAAATTGACACAGAATTTAACATCTACAAATGTCAGCCAAGATTCCAAAAAAATGGCAAAAACAGGATTTTCGCGTCTAAAAGAAAACCAATCAACAGCACATAGAAAAGTATGTACGTGAAAAAGATGCATGATTTTAATACGAACAAAACGAGCTAATTCTTTTTCGAGATACTTCTAATTGGTAAAAACAAACAGCGTTTTACGTAGTTGTAGAGAAAATATGGACGAAACTTTTTTGTGGCCATTTTTGTAAAGGACCTTCTTTCGGTTTTTGCTGCGGTTCTCGAAAATTTTCGAACCGAACAGGCTAAAAGTTTGTGTGTATGTTAAGGGCTATAATATCTACTTTGTTTCTGAATTTCAGCTCTTAATACTGTATTGAATGCGAGCAATAGAGTTTTGAAAAAATGGCTCAAAATGGCGGTTTTTTGCAATTGGAGAAAAACGACTGAATCGATTTAGACCCAACTTGGCTCATTTTTTTGTATCAGAATAATGCATCTTTTTCACGTAATAATTTTTTATGAGAGGTTCTTTAGTTTTTTTTCAAGGCGAGAAAAAACTTATTTAGACCATTTTTGCCATTTTTTTGGCGCCTCGGCTAACATTTGTAGATGTTTAATTGTATGTCAATTCGTTACCATGCATTGAAACTATTCCGTAATTTTCTTCAAGTTGGTCAGAATTTTTGGGATATCGATATGATTTTTAGCTAATTGTATTATACTAAATGTCGTATATACTTTTGCGGCTGTACATTCGACGTACATAGTTTACATGTGTGTGTGTACTGCGCAGTTCATCAGTTCTAATGTTCAGTTTCTTCAATACAATTCATATTTAGTAGGTAGATATTTTCATTTTGTTATATACTGTCTTTTAGTAATAAATTGTTAGATATTTATCCCAGAAAAATATATGGGTCATTCTACGAATCAACATATTTGAAGGACAGGAAAGAACAAACACTTTTATATGTTTTTGGATTATTCATGACCGAAATAAATTAAGAATTTTTTAGCTCTTAGATCTGCACGAGAAAATTCGTCTTGACAAATTTCTTATTTCATTTGAAATCAATAGGAGCATTATAAACTTATATTATAAAATCTCATAATAATGGAGATAACGGGGCTTTTAATGAAAATTCTACTTTTATCTAACACTTACATCATATACTTACCTTTTAAGTTAGTACAATTCACCATGCAAAGATACAAAGCGTTACGGAATAGCGTTATGGGCTCTTGGCAAAAAAAGGAGCGGTACGGGCTCTAAAAAATTCGTCGAAAAATAGAGATTGTTACGCACTCATTGCAAATTAAACTTCGCCAATGCATTTATTTCACATATAAAATTACTTTATTTCAACCCACCACTTTCGAAGTTAATAATTTAACACTTCGCAAAGATACATAACATTCCTCATCGTTAAGGGCTCTTAGTTTTTATTTTGGGGATATTGAATTTACGAATTCGCGAGCCTGAATAACTGGCTTATCAGGATTTAAAAATCGGAAAAAATTTCTACACTATCCTCAACCTCCATGGAATACAAGACGTCCAAATTGGAACGTCACAATTTATTTTCTTGCATTTATGAGAACATTTTCCGTTAAAATGTTAAATTTGTCAGATTTCGGTTCCACAACTGAAATACCACTTAAGTCTTTGATACAAATTTTTTTGTTTCTTAAAAACTCGTAAAAATATGGCTTACATTAGTAATAATAGTTATTAATAATGAGTATTATTAATAACCTTGAAATTTTATGTCATAGAAAAAATGAAAAATCCGAATTTCATTTTCAGATGTCGTCAAAACTATAAATTTTCGAGTCAGCCAAGAGTCCACAACGTTAATGTAGCCCATTTTTGGAATCTTAAACTAAAGTAATACTGTTTGATGATCTGAATTCTGTTGATTGCATCCAATGATTATTCAAAAAGTTTTCAGATCAATATCGCGCGCGTACATTGCTTTGGCATTCATACATTTATGTGTATCTACACATTATTAGTAAAATTAATCTCTGATAATGTTTTGGTGCCACATATATAAGGCAGCTTTGCTTCTGTTAGGGGTCCCAAGACCCTTTACATGTATTTTTTCAATTTCTCTTGTAGAGCTCTGAACATCGGAAAAAACGAATTTTTCAGTTTAAGAGTTGTTCACTTAAAGCAGTATTTCTTACTACCCAAAACACTTCACGCACACTTGTGTGCATGTTAACTTCCCCCTTCACCCTCTCTCTTTCTCGGTTTTTCCCTGTGCCTGTCTGTGTACGGTGAGTGAGCCTGACACTTTTTTCTGGAACTCCTCTGTATTTTTTGCAGCAGTTTTGTTTATTCCTCCATTGGAGTTTTTCTTAAGCCTTAGCTGAAAGTCAGGTAGACTCACATCTTGCTCGACCGGCGTTCTGTACCTCCTGGGGCGCGGTGTTCTAATTTGTTCTTCGACGTCTTGGCCTAACCTCAAACTGACATTGTCGTCCGGTGCTGTTGTACCAGTGCTTGCTGCTGCTTCCTGCGGTTCCATTGCCAAGGGTAAGCACTGCCACCTTAATATCTACCACTGTGCGACCGGAGCTCTCCTTGCCGTGCTGGCCTGTGATATAGGCTCACCATCTTCGGCATCCAGGAGAAAAGCTGCGGTGCTTGCGTCTGTGTCAGATTCAACTACTGAGCTGGATCGTCTCTTGTGGCTTGGCTGTTGTTTGCAAACCCAGGTCTTAGATCCTACCTGCAGTTCACTGACCTGGGCAGCCCTCTCCACCGACGACTCTTGCTGCACCTGGAGCACTTCTCCTTGATGTCTTGCTTCTTGGATGTTGATGATTTCCTATTTTGCTGACGACAAAAGACAAATGACTCTTTCTTAACGACCGTCGTTTGCTGCGGCTGGGAATAAATCGTCATTACGCTTTGCTGCACGGCTGCTGCAAGACCATTCGAGTGCTCTGTCAGCGCCTTTCACTGCTGAACCAGCGAATTGCTAATTCACCTATAGCTGGGTGTTGTGTGTATCACATTCTACTTTAAGGTGTGTAGTTTGAAAGCGTGTAGTTTTAAATAGTCGGATAGATTATACACGAGTCATTGATAAATATGGCTTATTTCCTTACTCCGTATACTTTACATGTCATGAAATAATTTTAAGCGCGTTGAAATTTGTAAGTTTTGTAAATATTATATGTTTATCCTGTACACACAGCGTATCGGCATTACATGTAAATGTCAATAGCTCTCAGATAGCTCGAGTCATTCGTGTTTCTTAAGGAGATTTGGGAGTATCATTCAAAGAGGCAAGGAACGGGGAGTCCCCCTGCCCGTGCAGATGTACCCCCTTTACCGAGCACCTCCTCTTGCACTCTACAAACTTGAAACTGTATGACTGTTATTGATTATATTTTTGAAAAATGACTGACAAGACTTGATTTTTTTTGTCGAGCATCTTCCTTTTGTACTAAGTGTACTAAATAAGTGTGGGATCATATGTGATAGATGTGAGCGTGATGTTACAGATGTAATCAGCGTAGGCAGTAGAATGTTGTTCTAAAATCACCGGAAGATTCGATGAAAGTGCACAGTCTTAGACTGGCCAGCCTATATATTATTTTTATTGTATTGTGTCCTAATATATTGTTTATAATCGTTAACTCATTACATATTAGTTAAAGTCACACTCAATCAACGTAGGTATATTCATTCTCACGATAATTGCACCACCTTCGTACACAATATGGTTTCATAGAAGGTATTTTTATACTCAAAATTATATTGTTCGCCATATCATTTTATAGAAGTATAACTTTTTACTTGGGTACCCCAGCACCCACTGTCGACTGGTTTCTTGGCATGTTTTTCCATTTCTAACTTTTCTCCCAAACCTCCTTAAATCGACTCAATAGTTCATTGTATGACTGTGTTAACCTCGGCAGAGTACTAACCAGTGACTGTCTCTTTATACAAATTCAGTTGCTTTGTTTCTGACTCTTACTATTGTTCAATTGTTTTAGGAGCCCTTATTTTAGTATTTTTACAATTTTAATTGACAAACTGGTTAGTTTTGATTAAAGTGTG